GCCACCTCCTCGTCACCCTTCCATGGTGGGACACGGCACTCCTGTCACCCTGTCACCCTACCATGAGGGACATGGCACCCGTGTCACCTCCCTGTCACCCTGCCGTGGAGGGAGATGGCACTTGTGTCACCTCCTCGTCACCCTGCCACGCTGGGGACACGTCACCGTGAGGGACATGGCACCCGTGTCACCTTCCTGTGGTGGGACACCGCACTCGTGTCACCTCCTTGTCAGCCCCCATGAGCAACATGGCACCCATGTCACCTTGCCGTGGTGGGACACAGCACCCCTGTCACCTCCTTGTCACCCCGCCGTGGTGGGACGTGTCCCCCGTGTCCCCGATGTCCCCGTGTCACCCACCTCCTGGCAGATGGAGTTGATGTCAGCCCCCGAGATCTTGTCCGGCCGCGCCACGTCTGGGTGGGGGAGTGAAGGAAACGTCCCGTCCCCGACGATGTCCCCAATGTCACCCAAGCCACCCCCTGCCCCCTTCCGGGGGGTTCCTCCTTCCTGGGGTGTCACCTGCAGGTGGCCCTACTGTGGGCCAGCGCCCCTGGGGTCCCCCATGTCCTCTGGAGTCCCTCATGTCCCCACGGGGTCACCCACCCTGACATCTCCATGGGCTTCCTGATATCCCCACAAGGTCCCCAACCCGGACATCTCCATGGGCTTCCTGATGTCACCAATGTCCCCATGGGGTTCCCAACCCTCCCTGACACCCCCTGAGGTCCCCGATGTCCCCTGGAGTACCTCATGTCCCCATGCGGTCCCCAACCCTGACATCTCCCTGGGGTTCCTGATGTCCCCACAAGGTCTCCAACCCGGACATCTCCATGGGGTTCCTGATGTCCCCAATGTCCCCATGGCGTCCCCAACCCTCCCTGACACCTCCATGGAGTCCCTGATGTCCCCAGAAGGTCCCCAACCCTGACATCTCCATGGGCTTCCTGATGTCTCCAATGTCCCCATGCGGTCCCCAACCCTGACATCTCCACGGGGTTCCTGATGTCCCCATGGGGTTCTCAACGTCCTCATGGAGTCCCCAACTCTCCCTAACACCCCTCGAGGTCCCCGATGTCCCCTGGAGTACCTCATGTCCCCATGGGGTGCACAACCCGGACATCTCCATGGGCTTCCTCATGTCCCCAATGTCCCCATGGGGTCCCCAACCCTCCCTGACACCCCTGAGGTCCCCGATGTCCCCTGGAGTACGTCATGTCCCCATGCGGTCCCCAACCCTGACATCTCCATGGGCTTCCTGATGTCCCCTGATGTCCCCAATGTCCCCATGGGGTCCCCAACCCTCGCTGACACCTCCTGGGGTCCCTGATGTCCCCTGGAGTCCCTGATGCCCCCAGAAGGTCCCCAACCCGGACATCTCCATGGGGTTCCTGATGTCCCTATGGAGTCCCTGACATCCCTATGGGGTCCCCAACCCTCCCTGACACCCCCTGAAGTCCCCAATGTCCCCTGGAGTCCCTCATGTCCCCAAAAGGTCCCCAAACCTGACATCTCCCTGGGCTTCCTGATGTCCCCTGATGTCCCCATGGGGTCCCCAACCCTCCATGACACCTCCTGGGGTCCTTGATGTCCCCTGGAGTCCCTGATGTCCCCACAAGGTCCCCAACCCGGACATCTCCATGGGGTTCCCCATGTCCCCAGAAGGTCCCCAACCCTGACATCTCCATGGGGTTCCTGATGTCCCTATGGAGTCCCCAACATCCCTATGGGGTCCCCAACCCTCCCCGACACCCCCTGAAGTCCCTGAGGTCCCCTGGAGTCCCTGATGTCCCCAACCAGGTCCCCAGTCCTGCCATCTCCCTGGACTTCCCCATGTCCCCATGGGGTCCCCACCTCCTCGAGCCACCCCAACAAGGGGTGGTCCCACCTTGGCGGTGGCTCCTACTTTGGATGGGTCCCCAACACCCTCATGTCCCCCCGTGTCCCACCACCACCACCACCACCGCTCCGCGGTGTCCCCACGTGTCCCCAGATACAGTCCTCCAGGTCCACCTCCTCGGAGAGGTTCATCTTCCCAGTGATGGTGGAGAAGATGAGACGTTTTTGGCGCCGGTCGGGCAACGGGAACTCGATTTTCCGGTCCAGGCGACCGGGACGCAGCAGCGCCGGGTCCAGGGTGTCCGCCCGGTTCGTCGCCATAATCACCTGAGGGGGGACAATGGGGACATGGGTGTCACCGGCACCTCGGGGCAACCATGGGACCTCCCCAGCACCCATGGGACACCAGGGTGGAGAACCACCTGGAGTAGCGTGGCCACCATGGCTTGTCATCGGGGTCATCTGGAGGAACAAAAGGGTGTCCCCCAGCACCCATGGGACCACCGTAGCACCCATGGGACCTCCCCCAGCACGCATGGGACACCAGGGTGGAGAACCACCTGGAGTAGCGTGGCCACCATGGCTTGTCATCGGGGTCATCTGGAGGGACAAGGGGGTGTCCCCCAGCACCCATGGGACC